GTAACTCCTTGGTTCTTATGAGACTAATATAAGCACCTGTCTGACACTTCAAGTAATCGTCTTCCTTTTCTAGGCCTGATGGTACATAAATCCTTACGTCCAGGCTGCCAGTACTCAGGAATTTGACCACTGGGATGTGAAATATTATGGACCCTCTCACACAAGTCTCATATCTCAGGATCACAAAAGGATTATCACACCCTATCACCTTATGGAGTTTGCCCCTCACAGTAGTTATCCTGGCTACTGAGAGTATTCTTCTTGGGCTCTCTTCACTTTCCATGCAAACTTTATCTTGGCATACCAATTATCTTTCGATGGATTAATATCAGGTAAGGGAGGAGCCGAAAGTCCATGAAAAACAGTAAATCGAGTAGATCCAGTGAAACATCTGTTTCCTCTCTCAAGCCTCTCTTTCTTTTTCAATACGACCTCTTCAGCAAATCCCCAACATCTCTCATACACCGCGTCAGCACTTCTCTCTTTTGGGACATAGATTTTCATACCATACACATCCAGATCCGTGAAATAGAACGTCAGTACATGTAACCGTTCCTGCTCCCATCCGCTCTCGACCATCTCATATCTGACAATCTCATATGGGAACACCTCTCTCTTGCTTAGAGTGTTCAGTGACTTTAGGAGACACTCAACTTTCTCTTGACTTGGGCCGGAACCTCTGCCAAATTTCAACCTCCTCCGTTTGATTTCCTCTGCGGAAATCTTTTTAGTTCTCATGACCACCGTTTCTTTTCTCCCTTGTCAATACCATGTTGATTATCGGCAACCAATTAGTCTCATCACAATAATTGTTAGGTATAGGAGGGATCGGAACAGTCTCATATGTCTTTGGCATTAAACCCCATTCCACTTTCTTCTTCTGCTTAATAAAATCTACCTTCTCATCATAAAGAGACTGAATTGCAATTTCCCACAGCCAGTTGAAGGTTTCACCATCGTCACGGTCTTCCTTCTTGATAGGGACGGATATCATAAATATCTCCCTCCAAGAAGCGAGCCAGTATTACGCTGATGGCCGAATTGCCAGAACGATAGACCCAAAAATGCTCATATTGATAGGGAAATATTCCTTTGATAGTTCCTTTCGAGAGCCCTCTCAGTGCATCAGAAGTTAGCATCCTTGATGAAATCCCCGAGTTCTTGATTCTTTCTTTCTCTTGTCAATGTTCAAGTGACGTTATAGGCTCAGAGGCATACCTGAATTCAAGTTTGATTCTCCCTGTCAATAATATAAATCTCCTTCTCCAGTCCAGTGTGGTACCTCACATAAGTAAGAAATAAGACACAGTTAGCAGCTGTGATTCTCAAGAGAATCGAGACTGAATGAGAATAATAAAATTAATATGAAGCTCATAACATTGTCAACAGTCCTTACGTCCTAATCAAAGCTCAAAGATGATGACGATGACCCAGGCTCGTTCCGGACACGAAAATCTTTTCATGTTCCCGGCAACGGCGCCATTTTTGTCACACTTTTTCCCAGTCGAGCCACCTCGGGCGACCGCAAAGCCAACAGGCTGTCACGCAAGATTTTGTTTGTGGTTGCAATAATTAAAATAAATTAAATAATGCAAATCCCTTCTTGTTGTGTGCGTCCGGCTTCGAGGGAGACCCTTCAATTGCGGTCTTCGCCGGTCCCCGGTCTTAGGAATCTTTTATTTTGATTCGGAACAGCAGAGAATCATCCAAATAATAATCATAAAATTATGGGGTACTATGCATACATCGGTTATGTCAATCTGATTTTGAGAACTGTGACAGAGTGATCCACATGAGCAATCATCAAACGAGAACAATGCAAGAAGCAAAGACTGACTGACTCGAACAATGACATGATGAAATGAATAAGGGAAGAATGAGAACTCATAATAGTCTCAGAAAGTACATGTGGAAGAGAGCATGGCCAGCACCAGTCAGGAGTCCTCACTCATCCCTCTGAACTTCACTATTTTTTCACTTTGCTGTTCGTCGTCTGGGCTTCTTGCCATGTCTCCGTGCTCTCTGAAGTTGTGGCTTCTGAATGTATAGCCACCTGAAGCCTACTAGTTCCAAACATTTCCAGCCAAGTCCCATGATACGGAAGTCAAGCATGGCACAAAATTCCTCCCATAGTGTAGGGAGATATGGCTGAGAGAAAACGCCCCTCCCCAGATGCGGAAACTCAGAGGGCTCGGTCACTGCCTCATAGTCGATCACTGCCGGCGATATGTACCTCTTGGCCAAGTCCACCAATCCACCTCAATAAGAGTCGTCAGTGAGGTAGTAGGGGACCGGAGGCTTGGGGTAATCAGTGAAAAGCTTAGGACCAAAGTTATAGACTAGCTTTGTATTCCCCTGGAGTCTCTCCACTTTCCACTACACATACCCGACTGCTGCTGCCCATACTGCATCAAAATGAGGGTGTGTCTCGTTCCCTTTTTTCAGGAAAATCCGGAGGTCATTGATTGTACCTTCAACGAATTCAGTGAGAGCGATGAAGATGGACAGGTTTTCTCGCTTGAACCCATCAATCCTGACGTACCTATAGGAAAAGCTAGCCCTGGCGGCAATCGAATTGAGGTTGTGAAGGACCTGTTCGTCAACTGGAATGGGGTTGATCTCTCTCATCTATTGGTAAATAGTTACCCCTGATAAAGAGAAAAGTGACTGTGCTTGAGTGACAGATGTTCGCCGCTTGAGTGCCTTTTAAAATACTGTTCTGAATGTTGTTTCTGGTTGTTGCTTCTGACTGATGTTTCTAATTGTTGTTTCCAACTGTTGTTTTTTATTGCTGTTTCTGACTGCTGCTTCTGATTGCTGCTCGAGAATTGAAAGATTGCTGGTCAGAGAGCTGTGACTGCTGATCAGGAAACTGATTGACTGCTTGTTAGGAAACTGATTGACTGGTTGATTGTCTGAAAAGGCTGCTTGAAAAGTTGTCTGTGTAGGCGCTGGTACATTGAGTCACTGATCCGTGGAACCACATACCGAATGCTGCAAAAGAAGACTGCAGTCTGTTATTGTTCAATTACAAGTGACTTTTTCAGGGGTGGTTTGAGCACTACTGGCTCACACGAGCTTGGCCCTGGCCTGTTCAACAGTTTCAAAACTCGAACCGGTACTGTGCAATCTCCCGTCATGTCCGTGGAAGTAAATTACATATTCAATATGTTTTCTTTCCCTCGCGGTTCTGACTGCAAATTCTCTCTGAGTTAATCTGAGTTTTTCCATGTCTTTACATGCTTCTTCCTCCCATCCCTCTCTCTTATCCCTGTTTGACCTGCTCTTCACTATCAGAACCTCCCCTTCTTTCATGATCCCTTTTGTCGCACTCCGAAATTCAAGCCACGGGCCGATTAACTCACGGATAGCCCAAAGACATGTGCAGAGCGTGAAAGTGTTGGGTACCCCGACACTAACTAAATACTTCAGTTAGCCGAGTCACCGAGGAGGGATCCGACCCCTTGATTGACAATTGGAGGGGAAAGGGTTTTAGCAAGAGGCGTTCAATGCCGTCTCATATGATCATCTATGAGTGAAAGGTCTCCAGGTACGGGTGCTAAAACGGCATCTGTGGCCGGAGCTAGGCAAAACCTTAGTTATACTGATTAATGAAGGTTGTAAAATAATTATTCTTGACTATTCGGTATTTAGTGTAAAGGTTGGTTCCTCTAGTGAAAAGAACTCATGAACAACGCTGACATATCCGCTGATACCCCTGTATGCTCAACTACTGTTTGCAAGGGCATTCCAGTCATGTTGGCACCAGGGTATGCCTGGTGTTCCTTGACGGCTCCCTCCCAGTTACCCTTGCTGCCTTTGATGAAGGGCCCAGTGCAACAGAATCAACCCATCTTGTATTGTACACCGAGTATCTCAACTAAACTCGAGTGGGCAGAACTCACGCTGGCTAAACAAACAAGCTGAACCAGGCAAGCGGCTCCTGTGGGATGAATTGTAAAACGCCCAGGCTCATGCAGTACACAGGTTCCCTTGTGCATGCACCTTAGATGATAGGTCTGAACCCAGGGAAGGAAGAACGAGACCCGTGTACTTTTCGCTCAGTTACAAAAGTAGGTAAGTCAGATTACAAGTAGTAGCCCGCTCTGGGCTTAGAGCCCTTTGGCCCAACGCCTTGTCTCAGCCCGGTAGCCTCATACATGAAATCAAGTTCAAGCACAGTCAGTGGTTTCAGACGTTAGACATTGCCCTTATTACAAGGTGCATTTTATAGCTTCGCTCGAATAGTAGCACGTAATGGTATACCAGCCCCCTCCTTGGTCGTGAGATTTTAGCTGTGTGTTACTGAAACTTAACCCTGGTAGAGTAAGATGGTTTCAACCAACTTGGACTAACACTCTAATCAAGAAAATCTTTAGAACCTTAGTACACCATCAGTCGTCACCCGCGTGACCTCAGAGCCTATCAACCATATTCAGTCCCCATCAAGTAGATATTTGACTAGTAAAAAGGCTATCTTCTGTATGGCAGATCGTTTCTTGCTCATCAATAATGATAACGGAAGGTAGTTGGAGTTATGAGGCGGCACTTGAGCAGGGCTTGAACTCAATACCAGCTCGTGCGGCCTCTCTGTTCCGCATTTGCAGAGTCACTGATTAGCCCTTTCGGGGAGCTAAGGACGATCAAACTGTGATCCCATACTCCTTGAGTGCCCACTCGTAAGCCAACACCCTGAGTCTTCTCAGCCATCACTGTGCCCTTCCCCATTTTTCGACTGCACCCGCTCGAACTATTATTTGTTTTAGTGTATTACTTACTTGATTATAATAAAATTCAATAAGAATGCGCCTCTTTTCGGAACTGAATTCCCCCTTCTCGTCAACAGGCACAGGTGAGAAGAGAACACAGATCAACGGCGTGTATGCAATGAGCGAGTTATGCTGTGTTCTCGAACTTTCCAATCAAGACTCGCGTGCAACCCTCATCTACCCTGACTCATGCCCTTCGTCTTCATCAGAGTCTACCAGTGAAAGCTTTGGTAATGACCACGCCATTTATTAGGCAAGCCTTAACGCGGGTAGTTTTCGGATGCCAACCATACTCATAGCAAAAAAATCAGAGTCTTATCTGCCCAAATTGTTTAGTAAACTCATTTCAGTTCCCCTTCTCTTCTTTTTAGTTAGATTTGATGAGAAAACTCCATGCTCTCTCAGTAGTAACCCCTCCCCGATCTCAACCGGTTCCGAGTCAAGCGAGAGGATCACCAAGAGGCGGAGCGCGAGATAAAGTGAGACAGTCAAGGCTCCCTCACTTTATAACCCCCTTTTCTTCCCAAACTTAACTGGTAGCAATTACTTACGAGAACTGCAGAACGAACGGCTAACTCGGACAAGTGACATGGCTGGTGACAAGGGAACATATTCCCTCAAGGGGACCTTAACATCTCGGTCTTACCTGATTATAAAGACAAGATCACCAAACCAAAAGATCAGGGGCGTAATGCGAAAAGTAAACTTTTGGCAGATAATGCTATTAAGTCCAGAATCATGCATGCCCTGTGACCAGGAGATTCACCGACAGTCAATCATTACTTCACTCATATCCCTCGTTAGCGTGATTGGTTAAACCCTGGTCGGCGTATCAGGTCATACTTTCGCTTTTCCTCTTACTTGATCAAATCACTAAACCTTGTAACATTTGTCCAGCCGAGTAAGAACCCCTCAACTCGTTTGACAGCTGTCACGAGACTACCAAGAGTGAACGAGGAAGTTAACCGTGCCTCTCACACCATCGCTAGCAAACCTGCGTCTCTTGGCACGATAGAACTACCAGTTTGCACCTAGCTAGTGAACCTGTCACTTTTCCGACAATGAACTTGCACCATGCCCCGTAGCCTGTCCTCAATTTTTAGTCCAGTGAGATTCACAATCGCTCCCTCCTCTTTTCCGTCTTCCGGACTCAACACTTTGCCTATCGTCCCCCTTTCAGCGCTTCCCTGAACCATAATCTGATCACGCTCGGCGTCAACCGCGGACCTACGTGTACAGCTTCTTCCCGCTCTTGGGCATCACCATCACCCTCTTGCTCGTACCAATTAGTCTCACCAAGAAGTTTGAGACCTTCCCTGACAAGGAATTCTGCTCAAAATTGCGAAGGGAAGCGACGATGCTCCCAGATGCCTTATGAGGCTCGCTGCTTGGAAACGCTAGAGAGTGAGATGAAGCCCGTCGGTCTGGTAGTGCGCGAGAGGTCTGATTCTCTCTCTCTCTCGCTCATTCAAAAACGATTGTCACTGTGGCCATTGCAAGCTGCCCCGTCTTTATGCACAAAAGTTAAACTGACATCAACGAATAGGCCGCTCTTTCTCTCTCTCTCTCTCTACTGTCCAGCTGTCAAGCCCCCACCGCTCCAAGGGTCCGGTGAGATATCCTTCCCCAGACCAAGCTCAGTGGGTTGGAGGACTGGTAGGCTGTCACGCAGGAATTTTGATAGGTATAAAAATAGAGGTGTATTCAGAGGCAGTCTCACTTTATCATACAGCGGAGTAGTCAGGGTTATCCCTTCTTCCAGCGGCGACACGACTTAGAGTGAGGCGTTCGGGTTTATCGCCTGCACCTGACCCCGTATGAAGGATAGACTCAAGGTCAGCAGAGTCCCTATCATTCAGGAGTCCTTTAAGCTGCCTTGAGTGTAACCTACATAAAATAAGGAGGAAAAATAACAAACATGCATCATAGAGCAATTGACACTGATAAAATGAGAAGACCAGAAACCAGACTCTGCAAGAGTATGGNCATAAAATAAGGAGGAAAAATAACAAACATGCATCATAGAGCAATTGACACTGATAAAATGAGAAGACCAGAAACCAGACTCTGCAAGAGTATGGCCAGAGATACGAGACTGAAGAGGAGTACACAGAGTATGCAGGGAGCAGCCATTGGAGGGATGGAGTCACTAATAAATAATAATATCGTAATACATCAATAGTGACTGAAAAAAGAGAACCTCAATGAATGATAATAAGCGGTACCCCCTCGTGAGTGAGTGCTGCCGTCTGGGACTCCTCGTCATTGAGAACTCGTGTGGCTATAGACTCTGGAACCACATAGCTGATCTCAAGAGGCGCTGCTGGGTCAATCATGCAGATATAGGCCATGCATCTGGCCATCTCCTCGTCTGCGACGCTCTTGAGGTAAAGCTCCTCCGCAAGAATGATGTCGCCTGAAGCTCCAATCAATATCTCAATACGTCCTCTCCCGCCAGAGTAAATGTAGGAAACCTCGAGAAAGCGATCTTCGTAAAGAGGCTTTCGATAAGCCTGCACAGCAAAGTCCATCCCGACCAAATGACTATAGCCATCTCCGAGGTATGGGACCGGACCCTCCCCTCTTGGAGGACCGAAAATTATCTCAGATCTAGGGTCGTCTGACATATAAGAGTCAATCACCCTCAAAAAGATACCGTGCAAGAAGATGTGCGATCCTCCTCAATGTCGCGCTCCGACGTCTCCACTCGCTGGTTTCCAGCGCTCCCGTCATTGTCCACAAACTCAACCCCTATGAGTGTCCCAGTCGAAATAATCGCCAAGATCAAGGTCACTCACAGAACAGGGCTCCAAATCCGACTCATCTGTCTCTGATTTCGGGACACATGTAGTGATTGGGATTCCGGATCTGGTTATCTCTTTGTGGATCCGGTCGTCCTTCCGCCTCTTCTCCTTGCTGCGGGGCTCACTAAGGGGCTTGGGGTTGCATCCGTCGAAATCGAAGAGCACACCCCCAGGAGCTGAAGGTACGCGAGGGAACACCACGTGCAGCCAGTTGTCCCTCCAATAGCTCTCCCTGCGAAATATGTAATCCGCAATCCTGTCGTATGTGGTGCCCTTCACTCCCGTCTCTGCCCGCTTCAACGAGTAGGTGATCACGAGCGTGTGTCTCGAGGTCGAGGACTCATTAGCCCTGATAGTGAAACTTTGATGTCCTGCATGTCTGTAGCAGAACCTCTCAATCAATCTACCCCACTTAGGGGTAGTCTCACGACGTCGGGCCAGCTTGGATGGAATGCACGCTCTCACTGATGCAGATACTCCTTCCAAGACCTGGCCGGATAGCAATCAGCAACTCAATGTGGAGGCCTGTCTGAATGGCCTAACTGAACTGCAACTCGATATGGGGCCCGCCTGAATGGGCCCGGCTGAACAGCAACTCAATATAAAGCCCGCCTGAATGGGCCCGGATGAACAGCAACTATCTCAAAAGAAAGGGCCCGCCTGAAGGGGCCTGGCTGAAAACTGCAACAATCTCGAGAAGTGGGCCCGCCTGAAGGGGTCCGGCTGAACATCAACAATCTCAAGTAGGCCCGCCTGAAGGGCCCGGCTGAACAGCAACAATCTCAGGTAGGCCCGCCGGAAGGGCCCGGCTGAACAACAACAATCTCAAGTAGGCCCGCCTGAAGGGTCCGGATGAACAGCAACTGATAAATAGAACATCTCATGCACAGGGACCAGTCGTAAGTGCTGAATGTACTGGGGCTAGACTGAACCAGGTCATCCGTGCAGGGACTGAACTGCCAATGCTCCCCGTGCGAGGGAAAATGTCATGTGCATGAGGTGTTGCTGATCAACAAGGGAATAAGTCGGTGGGATCGTGACGGCAAATCGTCCCAGCTAGCAATCCTATTACTTGGGTGTACGTGGGCTCGCACTCAAACGATAATATCCAGCCTGGGCACACACAGGCGCACACTCTAACAGCAATGTCGAGCTCGGGAGCACATGGGCGCTCACTCTAACAACTATGCCGAGCTAGGGTGCGCATGGGCGCACACTCCAACTGCAATATCAAGCTTGGACGCGCATGGGCGCGCACTCTCAAGCTTGGGCACGCATGGGCGCACTCTAACAGCAATATCAAGCTTGGGCGCGCATGGGCGCTCACTCTAACTGCTATGCCGAGCTAGGGCGCGCATGGGCGCGCACTCTAACTGCAGTATCAAGCTTGGGCGCGCATGGGCGCGCACTCTAACAGCAATATCAAGCTTGGGCACGCATGGGCACACACTTTGAAGCTTGGGCGCGCATGGGCGCGCACGCTGAAGCTTGGGCGCGCATGGGCGCGCAATCTAACAGCAATATCAAGCTTGGGTGCGCATGGGCGCTCACTCTAACTGCTATGCCGAGCTAGGGCGCGCATGGGCGCGCACTCTAACTGCAATATCAAGCTGGGCGCGCACTCTAACAGCAATATCAAGCTTGGGCGCGCACTCTGAAGCTTGGGCGCACATGGGCACGCAATCTAATAGCAATATCAAGCTTGGGTGCGCATGGGCCCGCACTCTAAAGCTTGGGCGCGCATGGGCGCGCAATATCTGGTCTGGTCTCGCGCGGGCGCGCACTGAAAATAAGTATCTGACCTGGGCGGGCTTGGGCTCACACTTAAAATAATTATCTGATCTGGGCGCGCGCAGGCGCGCGCTGATGATAATTATCTGATCTGGGTGCGCGCGGGCGCACGCTGATAATAATTATCTGATCTGGGCGCGCGCGAGCGTGCTCTTAAAAATAATATTCAATATTCAATATTCAATCTTTGCTTGGGGTCAATATACTACTGCTTGGAACAGGATGAAGTGATTACTGCGCGCAAGACTTGGCCTTTTCTTAGGGCCTGACCACTATTGTCATCAAATGCAGACTAAGTACTCAGTTGAAACGAACACTGGTACCCCAGGTTCGGAGTTGGTCATGTATGATCATCACACATGATGCAACAGTGCACAGTTACGACAATAGAAATGGCCCTCAATCATGGTGCACAACAGCGCACGGAATGGTTCTCAATCATATTGCACAACAGCGCACAAATGTGAATAGCAAAAGGATTCTCAATCACGGTGCGCAACTGCGCACAGATGCAAATAGCACGATGCTCAGAAATGGCCTTGGCAAATAGCACGGTGCTCAGTAACGGTCCTGCCGAATGGCGCAATGCTGAGAAATGGCCCTAATGAATAGCACAATGCTCAGAAATAGCTCTTGCGAAATGGCACTGTTCAGAAAATAGCACTTGCGAATAGCATTATTCAAAAATGGCTCTTTGCGAATAGCACTGTTCAGAAATGGCACTCGATCGGGATGCGCGCTTAGCGCACTGTTGCAAACTTCAATAAGTCGGATTTGGTCTTCTAGTGTGGCTTGCACACTGAGCAAAATTGCAAACAGTAAAAGACTCGGATATGGCTCTGAAATGTGGTGAGTACTGTTGCACAGTTGCAGACAAAACTCGGATATGACTCTCAAGAGTGATGCGCACTGGCGCACAGATCAAATATGGCCCTCTGTCTCGACGCGCGGTGGCACACAGCCCTCAGTCTCGGTGCGCGTTGGCGCACAGATCAAGTATGGCCCTCAGTTTCGGTGCGTGCTGTCACACAGGTCAAATACGGCCCTCAGTTCCGGTGCGTGCTGGCACATAGGTCAAATACGGCCCTCAGTTTCGGTGCGCGCTGGCGCACAGATCAAGTATGGCCCTCAGTCTGGACGCGCGGTGGCACACAGGTCAAATACGGCCCTTAGTTTCGGTGCGCGCTGGCGCACAGATCAAGTATGGCCCTCAGTCTCGACGCGCGGTGGCACATAGGTCAAATACGGCCCTCAATTTCAGTGCGCGTTGGCGCACA